TATTTTTATACATATTTTTTCCTCTTTTTTTCATTTATAGTTCTTCATTCCCACTGGCAGCATTGTTATTTTTTGTACCATGTTTAAATGTTTAATAAAGGTTTATGATAAAAATAAAAAGTGGTCGCTGTTTTGGCAGCATTGAATTGTGGGTAATACACTTCACCGAAGTCCGTCAAAATGCAGACTTCGCGGAAGGGCGAAAATAGTACCCAAAATGGGCGGGGCAAAGGGCAGATGTGGAGAATGTGGGACACACTACGCACTCAAACCCTTCAACATGAACGTGCATTTGAAGTGCACAAGGGAACGAGGGTGGGAGTGCGGATATTGGGACAGGGCCATGGTTGCATACTTGTGTGCGTCTTGACTTCTTAACAGCAGTTGTAAAGCATGATGATGCTGAAAACTGTTGCGAAAACTGGATCGGCCCGATCACATGACTAAACTCGATTCTACCTTTSAAAAAATGTCTATCTGCCACTGATACAATACTGAGTATCTGATCGGGACATCCCTATTTGTTATAACGGTTGACCCTAAAATAATGACAKGTTTGTGATGTCTGTGTGCACATAGTTTGAGAAAACAACATGTTGAGATATTTCTACATGCATGTAAATCTTGTCATTCCACCATCTAATGACATTATTTTCCTCCTGTGTATTTGRTTTTGTTTAACAGGGGCGGTCTCTCGTAAAGGTGTGAAACGTCCTCGTGATGGTTCTGTTAACACCAGCGGGAGTCCTCCATCTTCAGCAGCTGACCACAGCGCCAAACGTAAGCCGTTACGTCCCTCCAGTAAAACCGTCAAAGGTGCACCAAAGCCTGACACCAAAACTACCAAGGTACCAAGTTATAAATCCAACAGATCTCTACCCAGAAACCACTTCTTGTGATATTTTCAGTTGGTGTTTCAGATACAGACCCTGGAAGTTGGAACAGCATGTTGAACTTGAGTGTTAACATGGTATTTTTTGTGTTTTTAGGCCGTCAAACCCACCCCTGCTACGAAGAAGAAGAAGGTTGTGGCTCCAGCAAGCCTGGCACTGTCTGCTGCAACGCGTGTGGTTTACCTGACAGGCATCCCAAAGGACGCCACAGAAAAGGAAATTAATAGCCTGATTAGCTCTTTTGGCAAGATGAAATCTCTGATCTTTGGGTTATGCTCCAAGGAGGAGAGTGASAAGGGACAGAAGGTTTGTGTTTGTTGTGTTAGAAAAAAATATGTTGTTGCTGTCTGTCACACATCATAACTTTGAACCTCTGACCTGCTGCAGGCAACTGTGGTCATGATGAGGGCAGTGGACGCTCGGGCTTTTGCTTCTGCTCGCAACCTTTATATCAGAGAGAAGAAAATCACTGCTTCATTAACTGAGGTACACCACTCCAAACTGTATTCTGACGAGATTTCAAAAACTCACAATGATCACAGAAACAACATTAAACCAGGGGTGTCCAAACTTTTTTTATTGAGGGCCAAATACAGAAAAATAAACAAAGGGCCGGGCCACACACTAGAAGTGGCATATTGATACATCAGTAATGTGTGTATTTTTAACTCACCTATGTCAGAGGTTCTCAAGCCATTTGGGTCTGGGGACCCCTTACAAGGGCGAAAAAAATTCCAGGGACCCCCTCATAAACCAAAGGCTGTTTTAAAAGATAATTTATTGTCATTTCAACCCCTAAATGCCATTGGAATATATATTTTTATTAAGTTTATTACGTTTGTTTTATTAGTTCATTGTTCTCCATGCATTTTTAAAAATAAGAACCAAATTAACATTTTAATAAAAAATTTTTGAGGACCCGCAAGGTACCTCTTGCGGACCCTTGGGGGTCCAGGGACCCTAGTTTGAGAACCTCTGACCTATTTGAAGAACATTGCACTCAGTGGGAGCAGTGATGCTGTCCTTTGGAATGAAGGATGGCTGACATGAACTCAAAGGCCAACTGTGCAAATGGTCTAACAGTGTTTGTTTAGTATTGGGCATAAGGTCACTGTGGTTAGTCTTCGCATGGGTTCTGGGGGGATAAAGTTGTATCGAGGGGGTTTTAAGGTCAAGTGAGGGGTTGGTTAACTGTCCTGCACACCATTTTCTGTAAAATGATGAAAACATAAATGGATCAGTTTTACTGTAATAATGTAATAATCCTAACAGCCTCACCTCCGCTCTCTTTTACCTTGGTGCACACCAACGATGCCATTCCTTTGYGCTCGCCCATCATGGCCGGAGCTCCATCCGYTGTTACTCCGCAGAGCTTGTCCCATCTTTTCARCTGCCTCYGACACAGCTTCAAAAATATCTTTTCCTGTCGTTGTGCCTTTTAGRCTCATCATATCAAGCAGCTCCTCCGTAAARCAAAAATTATCAWCTACTCCCCRCAARAAAAWTAACARTAGYGCGGTGTCTGTGGCATCCGTGCTCTCATCGCATGCTRTCGMGTAAAAATCAAAACCACAATATTTGTCTCCCAGCTGAAGTTTCAAATTAGCCGACAAGTCCTCAATTCTCATAAAACCGACGGACATTATATTCTTTCATCACAGCAACATCTTCATTGCTAATCTAGTTCAAGTTAGGAACTTATTTAATGTAACTTWATTCATTTGGTTTAGTGATAACTTAATTTTATGGGTTAAATTAATTCAATAGTCGCACATTTTACACATCAAACTGGCTTCATTTGTCATCGTTTCTAAATTAAATATATTGTTTTTGTTTTTCTTTGCAGAAGCCTGAAGATGAGCCGTCTCCTGAGCCCAAAAGGTTTGTTCATTCTCACATAGCAGACAGATGTGGGCCAGATTGTGTCATGATGGCACTGTTTTTAAAACRGGATGTCCCAAATGGACCAGTTGTGCTTTGGTTTATGTGGTGGTGGCCCAAGCGAGAACCACCTCTGGTAAACCACATCTGGGCCTCCGTCATTCTTTCTGTATCTGGGTCGAGTGTTAGTGCATTGTATGGGCAAATAGATAGATGTTGAAATGTGATTTTCTTCTTTTTAAAGAACCAGTCCAAACTGTCACTCTGTTTATGTCTGTGGACTCACTAAGCTCTTTTCTTCACAGGAAACGTGGCGTAGACACAAAAAGAGGCGCATCTGATGCAGCTGTCAGCAGYTCAGGTAGGAAATCTGTGTAAAAAGTCAACATTTTACCCATAAACTTGAATTAGACTGCAGCAAAGGAGCCTTAGTAGTTTATACTAGAGATGCAGCAAGGAATCTGTTTGTGACTAGCATGGCCCAATAAAATCAAATGTCCAATATCTTTCTGCAAGCTGCTATAGTCTCTGATCTTCATCAAATGAACGGACACTTGGTTTCARCTGCAGCTCCTCAGACAGAAGAACTAATTACTGCTGTGTTTTTTTCTTTTAGAATTTTCAAACTATCTGTAGGCCTGGGCGRTATGACAGTATTTTGTTGTACAGTGGTACCTTGACTTAAGAGTGTCCTAACGAGTTTTTTGAGATACAAGCAGTCTCTCAGATATATTTTATCTTTGAGTTGAGAGATAAAATTTGGGTTACGAGCGAACTTCACACGCCCCACGGCTAGATGGTGCCACGAACACAGGAGTGAACACCGCAACAAGTGTTCACTGTGTCAGTTAGCTTTAAGCAGTTAGCTCGTGGTTAAAGCATTTGTGTTCCACTCACAGTTATTTTTATAAAGCTTCATGAACCAGCTTTTGCCAACTATGGGAC